CCTTTTATTTCTTTACACGTTTCACATTATTTTATACAGTGTCCCTTGGTATCCATGGTGAATTAGCTGTAAGATCCCCTGAAGATACCAAAAGCCACAGATGCCCAAGTCCCTTATATAAAATGGCATAGCATTTACATATAACCTATGCATGTCCACCAGTATACTTTAAATCATCTTTACATTACTTATAATACATAATACAATGCATACATATAACTTCATTTATGTGAATTCAACATAGAACTCAGCACACAGCAAATTCAACTTTTGCTTTCTGGAAATTTGTGGAATATTTTTTTCCCCTTACATTTTCCGTCCGAGGTTGGTTGAATCCATGGTTGCAGGACCCATGGATATGTGGGGCCAATTTTCCTCCGTATCTGATCATTCTAATATCTGGAGTCTTAAGGTCCAAAATCGGTTATTTTTTTTATTTTCAGTTGACTTTTTTTTTTCGCATGGTAATTGGTTCCTTATTTATTTTGAAGATTTTTAGTTGTAAGCTCATATTAGGGCCTAACTTGAAGGTGCTTTTCTTTGGAGGATATTTGCATTTGCTTCTGACAAAGGTTAGAAATCTACATTATGCAAACATATATTAAGCATGTGCTATGTAGCTGGACCTCTAAGAAAATGGCTCAAATAAGAAATGCTTCTACCCTGAAGGAGCCTAGTCGTTAGGACAGTTGGAAATCGAGGGAGAGAGGGATTGATCATATCTTCTGGGAAAAGCAGTGTTTGAAATAAGAATAATGCAAACATCTGATCTAAAAAGTAACATTATTCAGATTGAGTCAGTAACTGCTGAAGGAATGAAAAAGAAACCTCACTTCCTACTCTAGAAATTCATTCAGCAGATATGTATCGGAGGCCTAGAATGTGCTGAGTATTATTGCAGGTTCTGGGGTTACAATGGTAAACAAAAGGGAAATACGTGTAGGGAACATATATTCTAGCAACTGTAATTACATTCAGCAATTCTATTCCTAGCTATTCTACAAATATACTCCCTCAGGTGTAAAATGACTTATGTGCAAGGATATGCATAGTAGCAGTCTTTGTAATAGCAAAAGATTACAAAAATTTTAATTGACTATCAAAAAATTAAATAAACTATGGTACATTCATTATACAACCTTTGAAAAGAATGAAGAAGCTCTATATACATTGCTATGGAAAGATGTTTAGAATATACTAAGTGATAACAAACATAAAAAAAAGTACCAAACTGTATAGTATGCTACTATTTGTGTAGGAAACAAAGATAAAAATATATGTGTATAATAATATTGGTGAATGCATGGAATTACCAAAAGCAGCTACCTACAATGAGGAGAAATGGTTGGGTGGGACATAGGATTAAAGAAAGGCTTACTTTTCACTGAATATTCTGGTACTTTTATTCAAAGAATAAAAATATTCCCCTTCCAAAGAAATGTAGCTATGCTATAAAAGGGAATTTTACTTTCTTCCTTTATGATATTGAATAAAGTAATTAACTACCAACATTTGGCCTTGGTCATCTACAGATAGATGATTACAGAGTTTTGGTTTTACTCTGATGCTTCTTTGAAGTTTCTGCTATAAAGCTAGAGGCAAAAGTTTGGGTCTTCAAGAAAGGACAGTCTTAGAGCCTCATGGTAAAGGACCAGGTGCTTT